ATTGTATTGATATGTTACTATTTTTTCCTTAGCTTGACTGTTTACAAACTCTTTACACTTCGATCCCTGTCAAAATAAATAAAACATAGCATGCTACCATATATATGTTTCAATATATAAATATCAACTACTTAATTATCCCTTTAAACCTGGTGAACAGGATACAAATTTCAAGAAACATTCTTAAAGCAATGCATGAAACATGCCCTGTCAGCAAATAATTATGATGCAAACAACAACTGAATTTTTGTTTCTAACACTTAATTCCTATCGAGGCCTTCTTCTGCATGCCACAATTCCCACAATCCACCTTTGTCTCAAAATGAAAGTCTGTTCATATCTCCAAATAAAATGATTACATACGTATCCTTTCAAATCTGCTTAACGCTCTCGATGCTAAACGGCATGGTATAGTGGAATCAACCGTTATCTGGTACCAGTTGAACTGGATTCAATATGGATATTGGAATACTGGAATCAACTGGTAACCAATTGATTCCAGTTGGACCAGTTGTCAACTGGTACCAGTTGATTCCAGTTAAGTGAACTGGTTTCAATGTGGAAATTGGTATAGTGGAATCAACTGGTAGCTGGTACCAGTTGATTCCAATTAGTTAACTAGATTCAATATGGATATTGGAATACTAGAATCAACTGGTAACCAATTGATTCCAGTTGGAACACCAGTTGCCAACTGGTACCAGTTGTATCCAGTTTATCAATTTACATATTGGAAACAAACAGTTGATCAATAACCAGTTGATAACCAGTAGCGACCTGCAATCAGCTGATAATCAATAATCAATATTGCTTAGCATCTGGCAACCAGCTAGACCACATTTACTTAGACTCTTGCTAGACCCCATCACATAATCATTTGAGGCGCATTACATTTGAGTATAAGATTAATTAAGTACTTGCGAGCTCATACATAGATATATACAAAATTATACATGTTTTTACTGGTTATCAATTACATAAACTATGTTTACGTCTTAAATTGGATGTAAAACACGATCAGACATATATTGACTAATAAAATATAAATCACAAAATTAATGTGCATTAATTAATTGTCACTTTTGCTTGACAGATCATGATAATAATAACATTTTCTGTGAAAACATGCAAATTAATCATGAACATGCATTAGATAAATTGAACTGAATTCAACTGGTAAATCAACTGGCAATCATCTACTGGTTTTCAACTAGTAAATCATCTGGTAATCATCTACGGGTTTCAACTGGTAATTCAAGTGGTAATCTTGTATTGGTTTTCAAATTGTAAAGCAACTGGTAATTATGCATTCACTGGTTTCCAACTGAAATCAGCTGGTATCAAAATGGTCCAGTTTGGTCACTCTGCTGGAATGAAGTTATGAATTTCCAGTTAAACCCATTGGTTTTAACTGGTATCAACTGGTCTAATAATATACCAATACGCCTATAGTTAATGGCTTTCAAATGGAATCAACTTGTAAACTACACCCAGTTGGGTTTTAATTTGTTCCAACAGGAAACAACTGGTCTCAAATTGTCCACTTTGGTTTTATGGGTTTTAAACTGGAATCAACTGGCAGATGTACCAGTAAGGCCTATTGTTTTTAACTGGTATCAACTGGTGTAACAATTTACCAGTAATGTTAATTGGTTTCAACTGGAATCAACTGGTTTGTTTTCAGCACGTGCCAGTAAGGTCAATGGGTTTCAACTGGGATATACTGGTGCGTGTGAAGTTTACCAGTTGTGTCAACTGGTTTCAACTGGTACCAGTTGAATCCAGTTGCAACCAGTAGAATAAACTGGCACATATTCCAGTTCCATCAACTGGATTCAACTGGTACCAGTTGTTTCCAGTAGATACCAGTTGAAAATCCAACTGGTTTCAACTGTTTTTTTTTCGACCTGGGCTATATGTAGCGTATAACCAACCAATCGGACTGACTGCACTTCAATAAATAGCGACAATTTCAAGCATGATGCGATACCATTCACAAAAGGCGGTTCAACCTGAAATTTAATCAGAATTAAACAATCATAGATAATATGTCAATTTTAAACTGTGTTTACAATCAATCTTGCATCAAATTAGTTGTATGATTAATGCATGTTTACTGAAATTACATATTACACTGTTCCAAAATGAAATATCAATAACCCTTTGGGCTCTACACATATTACCCTAAATTCCTCTTTATATACATGTCTACAGTTACCAGAATTTATCTTCATTCTGTCACTTTATACGACTGCCTATATATAAATGATATTAAAATAACACAACACGGTCTGTACAACAGACTATCCCCATAGCGCTACACACATGCACCGTATTATGTAACTGCACGTGTAATGCATCATACAAAGTTACTGTGTGTACAAATCACTTTCATAACAAATGTTATACATCAAATTATCTGAAAACTATGACCTGTATAAAACCAACACCCAACTCAAACTGACGGCTGGTTATCAATTATCAACATCATATGTTCAAATTGTACTCACAACATTAGGCTTGTCTGGAAATACTAAATATTGATAGCACTCAGAAGGATGACTTTACGAAAATGGCTGATAGAGGTATTCCTAAGTACCTGATTAGGATACTCGTGTTTTGGTATGCCCATCAAACAATGATGGCTAGATGGGGAAGTAGTGTCTCTGAACCATTCCATGTCAGTAATGGTGTTAGACAAGGTGGTATTCTTTCTCCCTTTCTCTTTAACCTGTACATGGATGGTCTATCTGACAATCTGAATGCTTGTAAAAAAGGCTGTGTAGTTGGTGGTATGGTAGTCAATCATTTAATGTATGCAGATGATCTCGTTATTATTAGCCCGTCAACTGCTGGGTTGCAGAGTCTGCTCAAGATTTGTTCTCATTATGGATATGATAATGATGTGAAATATAATGCAAAAAAGAGTCATGTTATGATAATTAGATGTAAGGAACACCGTAGATTGGTATTCCCGGATTTTTATTTGTGTGGAGCTAAACTCAATGTCTGTACAGAGGCCATGTATCTTGGTCATTTCTTTACTGAGGATCTCAGTGATGATAAAGATATTAGTAGACAGTGTCGTAAATTATATGCTCAAGGTAATATGCTTGTTAGGAAATTTCATATGTGTTCTCCGGATGTGAAGGTGGCTTTATTTAGGGCATACTGTACACCTCTATACACTGCGCATCTGTGGTGTAATTTTAAGAAGAGCAGTTTGTACAGGCTTACTGTTGCCTATAATGATGCCATGAGAATGCTTCTTAGGGTACCTAGATACTTTAGTGCTAGTCAAATGTTTGCTGAGTTGAATGTTCCAGCCTGTTCGGCTGTATTACGAAATCTTATGTATAAGTTCATCCAGAGAGTGGATGTGTCTGAGAATGGTATTTTAAAGATGTTAGTGAACCCCTCGTATAGTTGTCTTAGGTACACATCGGGCCTCTGGAGATTTTGGCTGAATAGCCTGCTGACACATGGCAATTGACTATTATGTTCCTGTTACCAAGGATTCCAGTATCCTTGTTTGTTTGTTTTTTATAATAGTTATTTATCATAAGTTTATCGTTCTGGTTAGTTGAACAGAGACAGATTGTTACAAGATACAACTTCAATAGATTGTTATTGATTGTTATACATGTGCTTATTTTAATCTTACAGTATAGGTACAGCTTAGAGTTAGTTTATTATGTGTTTTTGTTTTTTTATCAACCTTGCAGGTTACATGTTACTCTTAGAGTTTAGAGTGTTTGTACGTATTGTAGACCTAGTATAGTTTAGTTATACTCTTTGTATAGTTTTGTTGTTATTATACTCATCATGTTTATACTCCCTATATATCTATGTAACATATGTTTTATATGGACCTCTGCCTTGTGTAGTTGAGTCTGAAATAAAGTTCTGAATTGAATTGAATTGAATTTTCCCAAAATTGAGAATCATTTGCAGCTAAATTGTTACGCCCCCACTCGGCAGACCAAAAATTCAACCAAAAAACCATCGCTTCTGACGTCATACTCCGATCGTCAACTGAAATTAAAAAAAATGTCCTTACAAAACAGAGATTAGTATCTTACACTATATGTTAACCAAGCATAATATCTTAAATGTCCAAGTACGTGGTAACCCCTTTAAGCACAAAGAACATGTCAAATATCTAGAAGTTATTGTAGATCAACCGCCGAAATGGGAGCTACATATTCAGAATAAATGTACCGTTAGTTCGACTTAAGGGCTTGTTCGGCATTATATATTAATGTTACGAATTTGAAAATAATTTACGAATTCCTTATTTTGCCTCAGCCTGATTATGTAGATATTGTAAGAGGTTCCTCTTCTCAGAAATATACCAATTATCACAGACGCTGCAAAATAGGGCAATTCGAATTATTCTTAGTGTAAATCCCTGTCGACATCATCTCTAATAATGAACTTTAAAACAAATCATAACATTACTGCACCATATTTACATGAAATGTTTGAATTTTTAACACCACAATATTGCCTTCGCTCAATTGTGAACCTAGCTAGCCATCCCATAACCAAAATCTGAATACTATCGAAGAGCCTGTTTAGATACATATCTTCCTCATAATAGTTCCATTCCGTACTTTATTTAATGAATTAATCCCAAGTTTTAAATAAAGTTGATGACATAACAGTTTCACTAGTGATTTGTTTTTAGACCCCCTATGCTCCTATTTCAATCAATTAACCAGTGAACTTATTTCTGACAGAAATGAACCTTAATCAAAATGTATCGCCCCTAATAAATTACTTTATTTGATTGAATTGTAAAATAAGACTGTTTGTATATTTATTCATTTTGTTTATAGTGGCTTTTGATATCATATTTCTATTTATCTGTATCAAATTCTGGACCCCTCGGCGGAACGGCGCCACCGTGTTTGTGGATGCTAAGAGATGGCCATCCAGCCGTTTATTCTCTCGTAGTATGTATACATTGTGTTATGTTTCGATTATTGTACTTCTTTTTATTTGAAATCATATTTCAATAAAGTACTGTCACTGTCTGCGGCGTCCTCGTCTTCGGCGTCCTCGTCTCCGAAGTCCTCGTCTAAGAAGTCCTCGTCTTTGGTGTCCTCGTCTTCGACGCCCTCGTCTCCGGCGCCCTCGTCTCCGGCGCCCTCGTCTCCGGCGCCCTCGTCTCCGGCGCCCTCGTCTTCGGCGTCCTCGTCTCCGGCGTCCTCGTCTCCGAAGTCCTCGTCTTCGGTGCCCTCGTCTCCGGCGCCCTCGTCTTCGGCGTCAGTGATCTCTTCCTCATCCTCGTTAATTTCATCTCTTATGCGATTCCTGGCTAGTCTCTTCTGTATGATATCCTCGGTGAGTGGCTTTTGATGAGCTTCAACCAAGGGGTATATGTGCTTTATGGCTTCAATGATGTTGGCTTCAGATCGGGCTGTTATCAGAAAAAAGGGGGAAAAACACAAGATACTAGTTACATTATTTGTGTTGGGAAAAGCAAACATGTTACAATGTGCCTTATGTGATCATTCAGCCTATAATTATGGACACTACAGGGCAAATTTGTTATTCTATGATAAACTTCTATTTTGGAAGAAGAAAATACAGCCTGTTAGAACAAGGCAATGTAACATCATGGAGGACATTTTCCGCAAAGAACTGCTGAAACAAAAGTATCCTCAAAATCAATACCTTAAGGTACAACTAAATAAGGGAAAGGCCAACATATCAATCCACTTGCCTACATGTAGTAGTGGAAGATCGTTCCTTACAATAAGTGGCAAATACTAACAATGAAATACTTTGTTTTTCCACCTAGGTAACATGTTAGTCCAAAGATCCTTTACTCTGCCTACATTTGCCATATCTAAATTACTAATCCACATGCCAACTTGTCTAATAGTGAAGTGCCAGTCAAAGGCCCATTTTGATTGACCAATTTGGTACTATGATTACAGTAACCATTAGCCTGTATAACTAATGTTACGCCACACATCCAATATGATTGCACAATAATGTGTCAAATAAATTGTAACAACGAAAGGCTACCTACACAAAATACCATTCTTACTTACTAAACTTAGCTACGTCCAGCAAGAAAGTGAGAAAGAAAGTTTAGAGTTACATAGGGAAACACGATCACATCGTTACAATATGCCATTTTCGTAATGTAACCAAATGTAATGCATACGTCTTTGTGAAGTGCCTGAATACAAATTATTTCATTCACCTGATAAGAATAATAGTATTTCAATAGACATAATTTGAACTGCATACTGTTGTTGCCAGGTAGGACAAACATTATGGCTTTACCTTCCTAGCAACACTTAATATATGCAGTTTGCATGCTGACTATGGAAATACTATTATTCTTATCAGGTGAATGAAATAATTTGTATTGAGGCACTTCACAAAGACCAATGCATTAAATTTGGTTACGTTACGAAAATGGTCTATTGTGGAGAGACGACTGTTGTAATGGTTTGTGCGTGCAACTAGATGGAAAATAGCCAAGCAAACACCATCTAATTTCACGGAGGTATTAATGTGAGAAGAGTAAGGGCGGACCAGCTAGGGGCATGGACTGATATTTAACAAGCCAGTCGAAGACAGAAAGCTGTGGAGAACCTATATGTGTTAAGGTCCATTTTGTTGTCACCCAAATTGCCTCCAAGCTTTGGAACTTAGATAGATAGATGAATAGTCTTTAACTCTGCTTACCTCTGACTGTAATTTCACCTGAATGGAGGATCGTAATAGACGATCCGTGTCGGAAGACCGGGTAGAAGGCATAATAAGGTTTCCCATGCGCAGGGCTGGATTGGGAATGGAATGAAGTAAGATTTCAAATTCTTGTCAGTGCTGGGCTAAGAGAGGGGGTGTCGATTTGTGAGATTTTCCAAATGAAGGTACAGTTGATCTTTACTGTACTTGAGATGGGAGGACAAATTTAGATTTGGATTGTACACTGTATCTTTCTACGGCAATTTATAATATATAATAATAATAAAAGTGTATTCTTTCAGACTTGACACTCAACAATAATTACCCCAGTTTTCTTCTGTTTTTATTAACATGACTGAACGTGTTATCATCCTTCTTTTGCAATAGCGTTTCCATTGGGTAATTAATGTAAACATGTATTCAAATTATGGAAATAAAGACCTTGTTTGAGGAAAAGAGAAAAAATAATGTTTGTAACAGAAACATGTAGTTTAAATGCCCTTTCGAATAAAAATAAAACAACACATAATGATTTTACCCCCGCCCCCCCCCCCCCCAAAAAAAAAAAAAAATGACAAAAAAGGAGGATACTAAAAAAAGCCTATGGTTTCACCGATATTTGACATTTTAAAAATAGAATTACACTTCAAATCTAGTGAGTAAACATTTATAGATTAGCTCAACCAGACAGACCACTCACTTTCGGGAGGCAACAAGATCTTACCTTCTAGCTTCACAATATCGCCGATGTGACCTTACGAAAGGCCAGATATGTACGCTAAACGGCAGATCGTACCTCCCACAAATGTACTTAAACTTGTAGTCTGATATTAACCGAGTCTGAAAGAAAAGGTTAGGAAAATAAAAGGATATACAAGATCAGTTAAGAAGACGTTCCGGGCCAGAAATTTTGTAAACTGTACTTGCCAAAATCGATGGGATTAAATTTAAGTAAACCAAACATGAATGCGAATTGAAGGAAAGCAATGATGTATGTGCATGTCCTTGGTGGCATGTCCCTATATAGACCCTGCCCAGAAAATTGGGTTCTTGTGATTTTTTTTTTTCTTTTTCCAAATATCCCTGAAGGGGAAGTCGACCCGGATATTAAGTTGGTTTTAATAAAAGCAGAAAATGAAAGAAACAGGTCAGTGAATGTTTGAGAATAAATTTATCTACAAACAAGAAAGATATGAATTTTTAAAGTTGCGATTAAGCAAACAAAAATTGGCAACTCTGTGACGTATTTTGCGAGATCCTCTCCTATTTCCCCTCTACAAAAAAAAGACAATTATTTTTTTTCCCTCAGGAATATTTTCAATCATACATTTACCCAGTGTGTAATTATGGCAAATGTGATTTTTTTTTTTTAACAATCTCTGTATGAAACAAATTTAGAATTCCATTATCAATAACTAGGAAAATAAATGTTTATGAAATTGTCTAAAGCTCGCTAAACAGAATGTTGTCAATTTGTGTTTTCCTGATAATTCCAATTACTTTGCTACATTTAATTGGACATTGCTAAAAATGTCACTAATTTGTATCACTCATAAAGTGCTAAATTTAGCACTTAAAGATTCAATTTTAGCACTTTTTAGGAGCTCGCATAGTGACTGCACTCGAAGTGCTGAGTTAGCACTTGCACCCGGGCTACTTTGCTAGCACCCAAAGGAGCTGACTGTTGTGCTAAATTTAGCACTTAAAGATTCAATTTTAGCACTTTTTAGGAGCTCGCATAGTGACTGCACTCGAAGTGCTGAGTTAGCACTTGCACCCGGGCTACTTTGCTAGCACCCAAAGGAGCTGACTGTTGTGCACTTAAAGTGCCAAGTTTTGCTCTCTTTTGGGTGCTAGCAGAATAGCCCTTGTGCAAGTGCTAACTCATGCGTTGTTTGACATGCCCCATCTACATTTGGTATGTGGTCAAGGTGGATGTCCTTCGTCATTTACCACTTTCAACTCTTACAGGAAACATTTATTAAACCAACATCCACAAGAAGAACCTGAACCTGAAGTTGTACAGGGTATGGAGGGTCTAGTTGATGCTGATTTGGGTGTTGCTGTTGGTGAAGTGCATAATCCTGCAGCAGATGATGCATTTGATGATGATGATGATAGGATAGGCCTACTACAAGAACAAGATGGAGCAATGCATAATGACAGTACAAGACACTATGAATATGACAGACAATGAAAGCGGACAAAATATACAGTTCCTTAGGTAGACAAAGGAACATCCCTTCACTGCTATTATGTAAAAATGTGTAGAACAGGTGTCACATGCATATTCACCTGTTCTACACATTTTGCATTTTTCATTGGTTCTCTTTTATCAAACACCAACATGACCCATGCTATGACAAACAGAGTGTTATCTGCTGCAACAGCTTTGAATACTGATGTTGTTGACAGTTTAAGGAGCAAAGTTATTCAGACTTTTGAGGCCTTGGGTATTGACCTGGAGAATGAAGAATGTAAGAATCTCTTAGCTGAATTTGATTCAAAAACAAATATTCACAAGGTAACAGCTATTATACTAACCGACCAATCAGATCAGGTTATGCAGTCAGCAATCGATGTTAAGTGCTGCATATTGTTATAGCACTCGTTTTCTGCACTCAAATATTCAGCACGTTTCGGTTTCCTTGTTAAAGTTAACCCGTCAAGTGCTGATTTTGGCACTTCAAGTGCAGAATCTCACTCAGCACCCAACATTTAGCACCTCAGTTTTTTGCGTGTATGAGCGGGTGCTGTGTTATGTATTAATGAGAACAATGTATGAACATATTATCTGGGAGGGGGGGGGGGGAGAAGGGGGAATCGGGTTTTTAATACATGAAGTATTGTAGAGGGAAGTTGGGTATGTAGTGTTCAGGGCACCTTCCTGCAAAATGTCTAGGTAGACTACCTTGAAAGTATGCTGCTGGAAAAAAACAGCGGCCAATTTTCAAAATTGTCGCCATGTATTAAACTACTGATGAAAGATTTTGGTGATTTCTGTTTAACAAAACCTTATTTTACCGTGTGGGGTGTCATATTAAAATAAAATCACATTTTTGATAAGATGATATTACATTAAATAGGTTTGGGATGATTTTGAGCAAAATGTGAGTAAACGATATGATTTTTAAAAAGTTCATAAAACATTTCCCCCAAAATATGGTTTGCTCAAAAAGTACTATTTGTATATATATTAAACAAATTATAACGACTACTGACTCGGAAACTTCTGGAAAACTGTCGATAAATATGATTAGCATTATATTGGAAGTCACTTCAAGTTCATTGCTTAAATGTGACACTTTTATATGAGCTAATATGTCAGTTTTTTGGTTAATAAGGAAGGACTTTCTTCTTCTTGTTAATGGTAACATAGTAAGAAGAAAAAATAATATATCACGAGTGGATGCTATCATCGAGCAGATGCCTATTTTGATAGGAAGTGCGATTTCAGATGATGCAGTTTCCTCAGGTTTTACTGATAACACTCTCTAGACTTAGTTCCCATTGCTATAGCCTAGAAAAACTGGTATATGATGTGTTCTCAAAAAAAAAATTAGGCTATCGGTCAAATAATAAATAATACTTTTTGTTTGAATTCAGCATAGGGATATCGACTGCTTTAATACTCCAGGGGGTGTTTCACAAAGATCCCAAGTTGAACTTATCTCTCAGTTGGACTTAAAAATTATGGAAAGCAGTTAGCATCTTTGAAACTATTTGTAAAAGTTATTTTGAAAGACATAAAATGTTGATTCAAATCATTCATATTTTTCTATTATCAAGGAGATTTCATGTTCTTGATGTGGAATTTATAGAAAATCTAAAATACTTGATATTTCGCATATGAATATATTTTATTTTAACACTACAAATGGCTCTCCAAAATGTTTAAGTTCAACTTAGGATCTGTGACCACCCCCCCCCCCCCCCCCCCACAGGACTGGCTGTTTCTATACTGCTCTCAGGAAATTTGCCTCCCTGCTATCACCCCGAGGCGCACCTGGGTGGGTGGCGCGTCGAGGGGTGATAATAATAATAATATAGCAGGGAGGCAAATTTCCCTTGAGCATATAAAACAGCCAGGCATCTTGTAGTAGTGGATATCTCTATAATTTATACTGGGAATCTCAATCAACACTGAAGCATAGCTTTTCTGAGATTCCCTTTTTCCCCCTCTCAGTTAAATCAAGCAATATAAAATATTTTGTCTTATTATCAAACTTAAATGTACTCTGTAAACTTTTTTTATTATGAACATACTTGTCAGTATTTCGTTACTTTTATAATTCATTTGTTCTATTATATATTGTAATACTGTATGGTTTATATACGTCATTTAACTTGTGGATATTTGAGTGGAAAATAAATAAATCAAATCAAATCAAAGGTGTAACAAAAGGCATTTCTGAGAAGAGTAAGAAGTAATAGGGCAAGTGTCAAAATAAAAAGGGCGACTTATCAGAGGTCAAAATGGGCACATATCATAAGGGGAAGGGTGCACTTGTTACAAAGTAAAAGGGGCAGCTCTTAGATATCAAGCAGATAGGAGCAATTATCATAGATGAAGGGGGTATGGTAAGCAGCACTTAAAGATAAAGGTGAGTTCTGGGCCCTGTATTACAAAGAGTTGATATCAATCGCAACTTATTTGTGATTGATATCAATCACAACTATGTACATAAGAGATGGGAGACTGCAAACTTGTGATTGATTTAGGGACTTGATATTGATTCGGATCAATATCAACTCTTTGTAAGACGGGGCCCTGGTCATCCGATTGCATTGTGAAAGAAAAGGTGTGGAATGGATCAGAAAAAGTTGAGCATATAGCATGTAAGTAATGGTGTGTACTGCAAAGTTCGAGAGGGGGGAATGAGCACTATTTCTTTTCTTTTTTTTGCTCCCGAAAATTTGAAAATCGCGCCGGCCGAAAGGAGTCATCAAAATTTGGCCCCGTTTTGGCAAAGTAACAAGCACTGTACACAGAAAGATGTATATTTGACTACACAAATGGTGTCGAGGCTACTAACCTTGATTTCCTAATCTTTCTATGCTCATTACTCAGCCAGTATACATTTTCTACCAAAATTGTTTGACAAATGACATTTATTTGTAATCTTGAACATTTAGTGTAATTTTCGTTTGATTCTGTGAGAATTCATTTTGTTTTTTTCACCAGAACTCAACTTTATCTTTAATAGAATGTAAAACAGGGACCTACTTTTTTTTAAAGAGATACTCATCTGATGTTAAAAGGGGGCACTTTTCCTACGGAGAAAGAGGCAATCTTCGGATACTTAAAAATGTGGGGTAGGGGGAGATGGGGCACTTTGCTCCCCCGGGTGTGTCGCTTCTGAACGTAAGCATTTGTAACGTTGCAGAACATAGTATGTTTCTATAGTTTTGACACGTATGACCAATTTTACCTTCAGGTTAAAGGGAAATCCAACTAAAAGAGACAACAAGTTTTTATTAAATGTGACTAAATATGAGAAAGGTATGATTTTTTGGATGTTGTAATCATTATCCATATGGGTAATTCAAATTGGTTGAAGCGGTAATGTCAATGTGATGTAGTGCCAGACTATTTTCCCATCTGTTCCAACATGTAAAATGACTAAAATGTTATTTTTTCCAAATTTCATTGCTCATGAAGATCTATTCCTTTTAGAAGACCTATAATAAAATATTTTGAGTAGTGCCCTAAGGGAGTAAGAACTTACGAGAAAAAACAGAAATTAACTGTATTTGTGTACAAGGCAAATGCTACGTCACAATCCAATGGCCGAACTTCCCCTTTAAGATTCGCATATCGACTTAGTGATTTCATATTTCAAACATTCATTCTTTTTTATTGGTCCGAATCATTCAAACTTTTCCATTCCGTTTCTGTCATTTTACAGCTTTCATATGAATCAACTTATTACAAGGGTTGTACATTTGTTTTATTTACTTTTGTTCTATCTCAGCTACCTAGGCTTGTTCTATAAGTCATTTATTTTGATATTTTAGTGATAACTTCTACTGATTGATATATATATATCATATATTTATTTATCAAAGGACACGTGTTAATTTACATATGTTATAAACAACCTTGACAACCGTAGCAGAAATGTTACATTTTACGAGAGAAATGCATAAATGAGGCACCCAGACATAGTGATATTACAAGTGGGAGTGCAAACAAGGATTCTATCATCACAATTGTTACACTTTGGACAGACGTTCTGTAGCATACATATAATTTCTGTTCATTATGTTGCTGATGCTACAGATATCTGCTGCCATGTAGTAAACTTAAGTTATCGATGATGATGATGATGATGATGAACAGCATTTGTATAGCGCCATTTATCTGCAAAAGCATTCAAAGGCGCCTGGCTCCCTCAATATGCAAGTGATTTATCTAATACCCTTGTCGCCACATTCCAAAGTTGTTTTTAACACTTTATAACGTATACATGGGAAAAATATAGACAAGTACGTGTAAGTGTACTTAATAAAAAGTGACCAACTGCAAAATTGTTGAAAAAATATTATGGGACATGCATATTCAGACTTGTAGATAGTCTGCTATGACTCAATCTTTCTTGTGAAATTAGTGCTATACAGCTTGAATAATTTGTTATTATGAGCCTACTGTATGAACCCTTTTTTCATGGCATTTTAATGAACAGTGCCATACAGCTTTGAACATTCTCATCATATCATGTAAGATAAAATCCAAATGGCAGTATATCTAGAACAAATATGATTCAAAGTTACAGACAAAAACTGACAGTTTCTTGGTAATATTCAAACAAATTGAGAGTGGTTACTTACATAACAATCATTTGTCTTTATTATCCGTGCAAAGTGTTTTGCTGTTCTTCGAGAGTGACGTTTACTGTATAAAAAAAATATAAAAAAATATGTCATGATACAAAAATGTTAAAGGGGAAGTCCACCCTGAAATTAAGTTAGTTTTAATAGGAGTAGAAAAATGAGAGAAACAAGTCAGTGAAAGTTTGAGCAAATTCCGATTAAAAATAAGGAAGTAAGGATTTTTGAAGTTGTGATCAAACACAAATTGGCAACTCTATGACGTATCATGCGAGCTCAACTTCCATTTGCTCAGTACTAAAAAAATCTAAAATTTTCATTTTCCCTCAAGAAAAATTTCAACCATACATGCACCCTAATTATAATAATTGCAAATATGTTTCTATACTCCCCCTGCAAGGAACAAATATATATTCCGTCATCAATAACGAAGAAAACATGATTTTATGGAATATTATGCACAAAGCAAATGAAGGAGAGCTCGTATAATAAGTCACAGAGTTGCCAATTTGTATTTGATTGATCACAACTTCAATAATTCATAACTTTCTTATTTTCATTCAGAATTTGCTCAAACTTTCACTCACCTGATTTTCTTATTATTCTGCCTCTATCGAAACAAACTTATTTTGGGGGTGGACTTTCCCTTTAAGCCGATGAATAAACCAGCAGTTTAGAGGTGCAAAGTTTCATTTAATTACCGTTCAAACTCCTTTCTTTCTTCCTCTAAAAATCCAATGCTTATGCGACATGTAATGTCTAATGAAGATCTCTACATTTTCATCATCTTCCTTTAAAAAAGTGACATTTTAAATACATATCCTTGGTTATCTTTCTTTTCCTTTTTGCAACATGCTAAGATCCACCCTTTAAAAACTCATCAAAAATTCATTGATTAACAATAATACCCCACGTAGGCTACATAATTGGAAGTGGTTGTCTCGGGAGTTTAAAGGTACTAAGTCCCATTTGGAGGCCCAAAAAATGAAAAGGTTAAATTCCAACGGCATTTGAAAGTTAATACTAATTTAAAACTTCCCTAAAAAAAAAAAAGGGGGGGGGGCTTGAAAATGTCTTTGAGTGGGAAAATAACGACTATCAGTCGTCAAATCGACTTAGGAGCTATAGAGCCAATAATTAATAGTCTTCATTTTTAGCTCATTGTACCGAATGCTCGTACGTTTTATGCTGCGCAAAGATTCAATCAGTTTAATATTAGCCATTACAAGAAGTGGGTTATTGATGTAGACAAATGCTCATGTATCCTTTACAGCTAATGTTATGTATGTTATTACCAAAGAAGAAAAAAGTCAGTCAGTCACTCGATAGTGTCTGACAGTGAACGTTTAAATTTCACAGATAGGACATACATGCCATATTCATGATTCCTGCATCGTTCTATAGAATTTGAGGTTGGCTGCAAAAGGGACATAGTACCTTTAAAGGGGAAGTCATCCCTGATATTGAGTTGTTGTTTTTGTTACAAAAGAAATAAAATGAGACGAGCAGGTCTATGAAAGTTTTTGTGCTAATTCCAATTAAAAATAAGAAAGTTGTACATTATTGAAGTTTGAAAACACGAATCGGCAAAATTTGTTGTCAAAACTACATTTTACCCATCAACGTCTTGGGGCACAGTGCAGTTTCAAGACCCCCTTGGACAATGATTTTAACCATGCCCTTCAATGGAATCTATATGCGTATAGTATTTACCTATCGTTGCCTGCGATGGTGATAGTGCCAGAACGACCAATTAGAGCAGTTGCAGTCATACGATGGAAGTTGGTCTTGGTGATTACCTACAAAGGGAAACCACAAGGTGAAATATATAATTTGAAGGGGGATTTAACTGAAGAAAAAATGGCACTGATTAGAAAGGATAAGGGGCACGTAGTTAAAGGTAATGCAAAGTTTTTTGAAATTTTGAATATGAGCTAGGTAGTGATCCTTTAAAATGTTTATATAATTGGATGCCCCTGTGGATGTATTATAAGCACTAGAAAAAATTAGCCCCTAAAACACTTCTGCTTTAGAGAAATTGAATATATCAAAATTTACCTGTGCTCCAAATAAGTTTCAAATACATGTATAGCGCCTACGGCCATACAATAATAGCTGCGACCATGAAAATCTCGAAATATGCAGTTCTGATAAATAATTTTCCAACGGGAATAGCCAAACGGTCGATTTTAGTCAAGAGACATTATGTTAAAGCTACAGTAATATTAATATTGGGGGAGCTACATGTATACAACATGAAGAGTTTATTATTTACAATATACACTTTGGACTCGATTTCAACCGCGACAGCGATTATTGAAAATTGTAGGATCGCATATGCTTCCAGTATTTACATTTGAACCAAATTCATGACCCCGTACCGAAACTTTGTACTACCTTTAAACCAAAAAATGGGCATTACTCAGATTCTAAAACGGTGATTTACAAGAGGCGATGGGACACTGATCAAAATTGATAAGGGGCGCTTCTTGTGCCTGAAAAGGGGCATTCATCCCAGATGAATATCAGAAAGGTAAGAGGCATTCATCACAAATAAATGGGCACTTATCTAATGAAAAGTGACACCTATCATTTTTTAATAGATGCATTTATGATTTTCAGAGATGTAAGAAATGTCATTTAGAACAAGAGAAGGGGATCTTATTACAAAGAAAAGGAGCAAGTGTCAAAATAAAAAGAACCACTGATCGGAGATCAAAGGGGCACTCATCAGAAGGGGAAGGGCTACTTGTTAAAGTAAATGGGCGCAATTATCATAGATGAATGGGGGTACTTATCAGAAGTGGTAAGTAACACTTCAAAGAATGTATAACAGACACCTATTATAAATAAAAAGGGGCACTTATCTGATGTTGCAAGGGGGCAATTTTCCTATGTAGAAAAGGGCAATCTTTGGGTACTTGAAAAGGTGTGGGGGAAAGGGAGGGGGAGCTGTTCTCCCCCGGTGTGTCGCCTCTGAACGTAAGCGTTTTTAATGTTGCAGAACATATTTCTATGGTTTTGACACATATGATACTATATCCATAGTATTGATTTTGAATATCGTATCTGAATCCATGCTCACGGATGTAAATTCAAAAGAAATTGAGAGTTGTTACTTTAAAACCATTTTCTGCAATGACCTTGTACTCTTCCTGGCCATCTTATTGTATCATCATTACTATTGTTATTATTATTGAGTTAACTGGCATTGCAAAATCACAGGGGGAATAATTACAGTGAACCAAATATGTATGTAAGCTGTAGGAATGCAATGTCAATGATTTATCTTGGAGGTGTTCATGGAGGCGCGATAGCTCAGTTGGTAGAGCAGTGGTCTCGTATTCCGGCGACCGGGGTTCAAAACCAAGTCGATGAGCTAGTGCATGCCCTTTGGTAAGGCATTAATCCTCATCACCAGGTCCGTCGGAGAAGACCTAAAGCAGTCGGTCCTCTGGGTGCTTACTCACAAGCATGTATGCTTTCTTAGCAGTCAGGTAAAATAACCACTGACGCACACATCTTATACCCGTGTCGCCACATTTCACAGTTTTTGTCTCGCCTGCGTAGCAAAAAGCGAGACATAGGCGCCGCTTTTCCGGTGATGGCGGAGGCGTCAACATCAAAAACTTAACCTTAGGTTAAAGGTAAAGACCAGTTATGGTCATGCGATTGCATTGTGAAAGAAACATTGTGGAATCGATCAGAAAAGGTTGATCATCTAGCATCTAGCATCTGCAAGGTTCTGGAATCATCAAAATGATAAGAAATTTGGCCCATTCTTCGTAAAGTTACAAGCACTATACACAGAAAGATGTATACGGGACTACCCTATATCTCTCACAGACCATGAGAGAAACAAATTTACCAAATATATGAATGAGTAGGCGGTTTCCCGGCGAATTTTTTATCATCATGTATTAGTCAAAACATATTCTTTCACATGATTGGTAATGAGAGCTTCCAATTCATTTTTTGAAATTGGGGCGTTTCCAATACTGGTCTTTACCTTTAAGTTTTTGAAATGTTAGTATAATTTTGAAAGTATAAGGTCTTATTCAATGAAACTTGGACCAAAGGGTTATCAAGTACCCCCAATCATGTGATTATAAGTTCAGGTCACTAAGTTAAGGTCAAAGGTCATTTCAGGTCAACAAACTTAGACTATGAATTGATCTGAAGTTCTTCTTCGATAGTGAGGTCATGAAAAGTGAAGCTTGGTAAGAGTATGGTGTCTTTTGCTGATTTATACACTTTTGAATAATACCTGGAGCTATGTAACCATATGGAACTTAGGAGAACCTATAGGAGTGTCTTTTGGAGTCTGCTGGTGGCTGGAAACTACCTCTTTATCAACTTTTATGTGAGACCATTTTCATGTTTTGGAACCCTTTTTTTTTTATTGCTGGTCCCATATACCCGTTTTGCTTGTTGGATTTACCCATCGTAGCACTCGCTATTTCTTCTCGTTGGTAGATTGGCTAAGATTATACACAACAATAACAGCGGATTCCCCCAGCTATTGTTTGCTGGTCATGACTTGCAGTGACTCATCAATCTGGGACTAATCTGACTCCCATTCCAGCTCTATTCATCTATTGGACCTATACTATCCACCATGGCAGGCTCAACGGGCAATGCTACAACAAGAGGGATATATAGAAGACCAATAAGAACGTTATCGTTCAAGAGAGAGTGTTTGTTGCATCTAGAACATTTTTTAATGGAGTCCCATCACATTGCAGTTTTGGGGAGGGACTATGATTATATTACCCCCTTGGATAGCCTCCCAGAGTCTGGTTTTGAAGGTTTCAACTGAGTCGCAGGCAAAGATGCTGGGGGAAGTAAATTCCAGGCCCGTATGGTTCTTGGAAAGAAGGTGAGCCGATAAATATCCGTCTTGCATCTTGTGTTAGAGAAGGAGAGATTATGATGTCCCTTGAGTATCTTCTGGGGTTGTGTGATGTATTCAGGTCTGGGTATATGGCTACTTGGTCTTTGATGGATTTGAAGAAGAGCGAGTGTCGAGCCACAAAACGTCGACTCTGTAGCGGTTACCACTTTAGATCACTCACTCTTAAGGTCTCATACATGGACGTCTATATTTTTCCAGTGACAAATCTAGCCCCTCTGTTCTGGACTCCCTCTAGTTTGTTGATATTTTTACTTAAATAAGGATCCCACACGCTACAGGCCTTAATAGACAGGTGAATGCAGCTTCTCTGATCTTCTTGGTAGAGAAGCCAAACCGGTTCCGACGAATCATCCCAAGCTTACAGTATGCCTTTTTAAGTACGTTATCCACTTGGTTCTCCCAGAATAAGTTGTTGGTTAGTTCCACTCCGAGGTAGGGATGGTAGTTTACCTCAATGAGGGTAGTACTGTTTATGTAGTATGCTTGGTTGAATTTCATTTACCACTTGTCTGCCCATGTAAATAACCTGTTCAGATCCGTCTGGAGGATTACTGTGTCTTCGATCGTCTTAATCGCTCAGTAGAGTATGCAATCATCTGCAAATAGCCTTAAACTCGACGAGATATTTATATCAATATTGTTGATATATACGATGAAAAGGAGAGGGCCGAGGACGGACCCCTGCGGTACGCCTGATAGAACCGCAGCCGAGGCTGAGCATTCCCCATCAACGACCACTCTCTGTGATCTTGTTGTCAGCCAAATGTTGATCCACTTAAGAGCCCCCCCCCCCCCCCCCACTCAGTGTTATTTAAAGTACGCATATGCTTGTTCCCTCCTTTTGAAAACACCCCCTAAGTCCGGTGTGTAAAGTCAATACGGGCCGGATTTTTGTGTACTACGAGCCGGACTTTGGTGCGTAAAAAGTACCCCTTTACCGGACATTTCGGTAACATGCATGGTATCCCTCCGTTCACGGAGTGGAGGGAGGGGGGGGGGGTTTAGAGAAGTTGGCCTTGAATGCCACACTTGTGAAGTAGGAAGAGAAGTCTTTGATGGGGTACCTTATCAAAAGCCTTGCTGAAGTCGAGAATCATGACGTCCTGTTGAGTACCCTGGTCGAATGATCGTATAAGGTCTTCTATCGTAAGAATGAGCTGACTCTCACAGCTTCGGAGTTTCCGAAATCCATGCTGTTTTTCATTTAAGAAATTGTGATCATCAAGATGCTGGATGATGTGTCTGTAAAAAACATGTTCCAAAATCTTACAAGAGTGGGATGTTAAGGAGACTGGCCGGTAATTCTCTGGCGAGTGACGGTCTCCTTTCTTGTATATAGGAACAACGTTAGCAGACCTCCCAATCAAGTGGGATGTCACCTTCATCTAGGGATTTCTGAAATATTGCAGTCAGAACTGGAGCAATCTCATCTTTGGCCTCTTTGAGAATGATGTTGGGAATTTCATCGGGACCGTGTGCTTTCTTCACCTTCGTGGGTCCCATTCCCATTCCCCACTTCACACGAATCCTGAATTCAAATCTATAGATATTTTCACTCAATATTATGACCATGTGTGACCAAGCTGTAATTAATTAATTTCTTGTCATGCCAATTAATCAGATTAAATCAGATTTCATACTACCTGTAAAATGATAGGACTATACTCTGTAAGTAAACATAAATTGTATATTTTGTATTATCATATATCTCGGATAATCATCTATATATAAATATATTTTTAAACAAATGTTAACTAGGTTTTAAAAAAAGACTACTTATTACTTTGAAAGTGTATTACAAAATTGCATATGACATTTAGTAAATGGTAACAACATGTTTTACTATTTAAACGTTTTAATTGCATAATTAGAACATGTATTATTTCACCATTGTTTGAAATTAGTTGTTTAGTTCATCACAATCAGTAATTAATATTTTTTTTTAAAAAATGCTAAAAGTATTGATTCCTTTATTCTTGTATGTATTTATAATTTGTAAACTGAATTGTATGAGTCTCCGGACTTTTCATTCAGTATGTTTTTATTTACAATAAACCAGAATTGAAATCCGAGGAGCTTGGTGATACCGTGTATATTGATAGTCAAGTCAGGGAGTCGTGTTAAGTCTCCAGCAATGCCATCACCAATCTCGTTATGCCAGGTATTAGGTATAATATGATCCTCAAGGGTAAATACTTGGCAGAAGTGATCATTTAACATCTGGGCCTTTTCGCATGGCAGAGATGCTTCTCGTCCATTTAGACGTAGTACAGGAGTACCAACTGTGTCCCTTCTCCTGCTTTTAAAATATGAACAAATATTCAACATCATCCTAGAAATGGTTACATGCCACCTATGACACCCATATCGGAATAAACATCCAAGGCCATCTGATCAACAACCTCCGCTTCGCTGACGATTTAGTTCTTCTTGCATGCAACGAGATATAATCTCCAGTCCATTGTAGATTGTGTACACCAGTGGAGCTCAAACTTTGGCCTCAAAATCAATATTGTCAAGACAGAGGTCCAGGTCATCAGCAAACAGCAGCAAGACATTAACATCAGCATAGGTGGAACCAAACTACTACAGGTGGAAACGTTTGTTTGCCTGGGAGGTACCATCACTCAATCAGGAAAATGTACAGAGGACATAAAGAATAGGATTGGAAAAGCCCTGGGTGCTGTTCAAAGTCTACACAGCATATTGACAGCCAAAGATATTAGAGATGTCACAAAACTTGAACTTTATAAGGTACTCATCCTATCCATCCTTATGAATGGATCAGAAACATGGACACTGAAAAAAGAAGATGAGTTCAGGCTCCTTACCTTCGAAATGATCTGCCTCCGACAAATCTTGGGTGTAACCAGATTAGAAAAAATAAGAAACACAACAATTCGAAAGACTCTAGGACTTGATGAAACCATTCTGGACAAAATAGCCCCAAAAAACCCGGCTGCGATTCTTTGGCCACGTTAACAGGATGATCCCATCACGATACCCAAAGATACTCCTAACTTCTAATATTCATGGTGATAGAACCCGGGGTAGACCAGCCAAAAAATTGTTAGATTGTGTAAAGGCTGATTGTGCTACTAGATGTCTGGGATCCCTCACAGAAGCGACCAGAACGTCACAAGATAGGAGGATCTGGCTTGAGGTCATGAAGCAGAAGCCATCACACATCTCACAGATGGTGCGGAAGGCTTAGGTCAAGGTATGTCAAATGCAGACGAGACCGCCGAGAGCGTTTCTCTTGTTTCAAACATCCGTCACACTTCGTAACGCCTCTCGCTATACTAACATACATTTGTTTTATTTACTTTTGTTCTATCTCAGCTACCTAGGCTTGTTTTTAAAGTCATATATTTTGATTTTATAGTTATAACCTCTACTGATTGATATAAATATATATAATATATATTTATTTAAGAAAGGACACGTGTTAATTTTCATGATAAACAACCTTGACTACCGATACACACATTGTACTTTTTACGAGATAAATGCATAAATGAGTCACCCAGAGATAGTGATAGGGTGATATGACAAGTTGGAATGCAAACAGGGACTCTCTGATAACAATCATTACACTTTTGACAGAAGTTGCATTGCATACATATAATTTCAGTTCATTATGTGGCTGATGCTATCTGCTGCCATGTAGTAAACTTAAGTTATCGATGCAAGTGATTTATCTGATACCCTTGTCGCCACATTCCAAAGTTGTTTTTAACGTCCTTCACACTTTATAACGTGCACATGGACAAAATATAGTACATGCAGGGAGGTGTTTTATACCCTGGTACATGTAAAGTGTACTTCATGAGAAGTGGTCAACTGCAAAATTGTTGTAGAAATATTATGGGATATGCATATTCAGACTTGTAGATAGTGTGCTATGACTCAATCTTTCTTGTGAAATTAGTGCTACAGCTTGAATAATTTGTTATTATGAGCCTATTGTGTAAACCATTGCTATTTAATGCATTAATAATGAACAGTGCAATGCGGCTTTCAACAGATGTAAACATTCTTATCATATCATGTTACATGTAAGATAAAATCCAAATGGCAGCATATCTAGAAATATGATTCAAAGTTACAGACGAAAGCTGACAGTTTCTTAGTATATACAAACAAATTGAGAGTTGTTGCTTACATTTTTACCATCTCTCTTTAACTCCCTCGCAAAATTTCTTGCTTTCTTCTGAGCACGGTGTTTACTATAAAGAAACAACAAAACAGTCATTATACAAAAATATTCAAGGCTATGATTAAAACCAGCAGTTTAGAGGTGCAAAGTTTCATTTAATTACCGTTCAAACTCCTTTCTTTCTTCCTCTAAAAATCCAATGCTTATGCGACACTTAATGAGGTCTGTCTAAATGTAGATCTCTATATTTCCATCATCTTATTTAAGTGACATTTTAAACACTTATCCTTGGATATCTTTCTTTTCCTTTTTGCAACATGCTAAGATCCACCCCATGAAAATCCTCTAAAAACTCATAAAAAAGTCATTGATTTACAATAATACCCCATGTAGGCTACAATACATGGAAGTAGTTGTCTCAGGGACCTTGAAGGGGAAGTCATATCTGATATTAAGAATAACTGAATCTACTGCTACTATTTCAGATAATGTAATTACTACTAATTCCATTTACCTATATTACAAGCGGGTTGATATACTGTGATATTTCGGATCACCAACCAATATTTCATATAACTTCTATTAAATCTACTAAAGAGACCTCTTTGGCGGATAGCGCTCCACATGGTGTGTTTTCATCAAACAATATAACTTCTTTTAAAAATGAAATTGAGAGTACATGTTAGAATAACATCATATTATACAACACGCAACATTAAGTCAAGCCTACGATGATTTCATGGCAAAGTTCCGAAGATTATATGATAAGAATTTTCCTTTTGAAACGCCTAAAAGGAGTAAAAGAAAATTAAAACCATGGGTGACTGATGATTTTAAGTCTATTCAAAATACAAAATACTTTGTATAAAAATATATCAACGACCCATCCCAAAGAAATGAAAAGAAATATAAATAAATACGAAACAGAGTAAATTCATTAAATAAACAGATGAAAATCGACTATTATAAAGAAAAAATTGATAAATATAAATATATACATAATGTTAATGGCACATGGCGATCTATAAACTCGGTTTTAAACAAGAAAAGACAACAAATTTCAAGTACATTAGATTGTAATGGTGAAATTTTGACAGATTCTCAGAAGATCGCTGACGTTTTGTTATTATTTTTTGTAAACATTGGTGCTAATTTAAATACATGTAGTCTTGCACCTGAAAGCAATATTAACTTTAGACAAAACCTACCCCATCCAATCCCCAACTCTTTGTTTATGTCACCTGTTATGGGAAATGAAATATGTAATATTGTTAAAGCCTTCAAGAACAATAAGGCCCCTGGTCTAGACGAATGTTCCCTATAATTATTAAAGCTGTTATTGACCTAATGATTAATAGTTATGTAAACCACTCTACATTGTTTCTTTATCATATCACTCGGTGCCGGTAAATTCCCAGACAATATGAAATTAGCATTGCTACTATGTTGCAGTCCTCTTCCTTTCTCTTTCTCTCCATCCATGCTCTCTCTCCTCCTCTCCTACTTGCTTATTTATTCCTTTCTTCTATTTATAATGTATGATACTTGTATGTGTTTGTGTATTCAGGCGTACACATTACAAGCTATGCTTACTGGGATTTGCGTCTTCTGTCTTGTAATACCTGTTCTTAAATTATATTCATGTTCCAACGTATAAATTGTATTGTTTAAACATATGCCAAATATGTTGTCAAATTGAATGGGAGAAAATGAATCTTAATTTGAATTTGAATTTTAATAAAAGCAGAAGAATGAGAAGAACAGGTCTGTGAACATTTGAGCTAATGCAAAAATAAAAAAATTATCAATTGTTGAAGTTGCGATCAATTAAACACGAATCGACAAAATTCGATGTCGAAACTGCGTTATACCCCTTAACGTCTTGGGGCACAGTGCAATCTCAATAATTTAATCATGCGCCTCAATGGTGTCAATAATTATGTGTAGAGCATTTACCTACTGTTGCATCTGATGATGGTCTTGCCAGGATAGAGTTTACATGTAGCTTTGGAAGGCCGACGACGGAACTTCATGATTAATCCCTGCATTAGGCAAAGGCATTTTTATTGCACAAAAACAAGAAGAAAACAAAACCTGACAACTGTTAAAAACGTTTGCACATGTACAGTGTGTTGCACGCGTCAGTAGAAAATATAAAGGCGCTTCTACATATAAGAATTAAAGGCATTAAGGTTCCTGCCAAAGAAGAACTTAACATGGCATTATTTCCTTTATGTTTTACGGGCCATGAGTCTGGAAAAGAGACCATGGATCTACTAAGTACGCACTAAGAAATAAAGGTGTAATTCTGCTACAAACGCAGCATCCTCTGTCAAATACGCGT